TTGGACCATCTGGCCATTTTATAAGGGACGGTGATTTTGAGAGTACTCTGTCTCTATAGCTAAGGGAGCAAGGATGCTTCAGGATAGGGTTTTTAGAGGACAGTTTGGGTGAAAGTGTCCAAACTTTTTAAAAAATGTTTGACCAAGCAATTCCACCTCTAAGGAAATAATGAAGGATGTGAATAGAGATTTGGTTAGGTACTTTTTTTCCATACACGCTAAAAATTAAAATTCTACCACGCATCAGTATTTGATAGACATCCTTTTAAAGATATCCTTAAACAAATTTAGAATTCCCTGGGTGGTATAATTTCTTACATGCTTGGCTACTAACTGAAAAGTTGGTGATTTGAGTTTACTGAGAGGCATCTCATGAGAAACACCTGGTCATCTACTTCCAAAAAATCAGCCATTGAAAACCCTATGAAATGTTTATATATTGGAGGACATTTTCTTTGTTGGTTACCAGGGGTGGGAGGGAAGGGGAGGGAATGCTGTTAGATAGATAGAGATAAATATTGATTTGGGTGAAGAGAAGGGCAATGTACCAAATGTGAGTGACCAATATGGCAGCATTGAGGATGAGAAAGACAGAGAGAGTTACATGGGCATTACAAACAACAAATATGAACCCCTTTGTAAATACAATACTGAGTTGTTAATGAAAGCAAATATGGGTATAGGGACGGATAGATGGGTGAACAAGCTAAACAATTATGTATGTCTAAATGGAGAGTGTATCCAAGATCATATACAGGGTTGGCAGAAAATGGGCCTCTCGAAGAGTATGAAGGGATGGACACTGGGAGGAGGTAACTATGGGGAGGAAGTGGGAGGGGAGCTGCTGCATTGTAAATTTTGGTCAATGACATGAGACAAAGTATATGTGAACTGCTGTATGAAAAGTGAATTTACTCTGTAAATCTTCACCCAAATCCTAATAAAAAAAAAAAAAAAAAACCCTATGGAGCATAGTTCTACTCGGACACACATGGGGTTGTCATGAATCAGAGCTGACTCCATGGCAGCTGGTTTGGTTTTGGTTTTAAGCAATTATATATGGAAAGAAATTTAAGAAAAGTTGAATCATATAGCACTCCTTTAATCAGTGTTAAATTGCTTTTTGCTTTAATATAAAAAAAAGGAAAGTGAAACACAACTAAAAGGACAGTTGAACTTTTTAAGTTTTGTTATTGTTTCAACTTTAGGTTCTACTGATTCTTTGCTATAAAAGAAGCATGAACTTATATAATTAGAAAAGAAAAACTTTAAATGCCATTGTTTGTTGTACCATTTAAACAGTAACATTCATTCAGTTATTTTCATTTCCAAAATACTTTTGCGTTTAATATTTTGAAATTTTTACTTTCAGAATTCATTCCCTGCATTTTTAGCTCAGGCATAAAGGAAGATAGGATTTCTACTATCAATCTCTTGTTATCCACCTTGAAAACAAAGGTATGTGTTTGGTAATCATTTTCAGGCTTTATTTTTCTCCTTGAGAATGACTAACTAATCATCAGTGTTTTCCAGGACTCTGGAACTGTAGTACCTTACGTTGTACGTTTTCTCCATTATCACATTGGCTTGCAGTCTTTGGGTTGACTGGAAAACTTCTTAAGCAGAAACTTGTTTGTGTTGATAAGAAAATTCTGGGGCTGGAAGGTTAAGAATTGCTAGAATAGTGACTTATGGTCAGGCAAGGCTGCTGTGTTACAACAGGAGACTAACTATTGGCTAGCATCTCACAGAAAGCCATACAGTGATTGCGAGCTGTAAATTATAAATAATACTTCGATTATATATGTAGCAAAATGTTGTTTTGTGTCATGTATATTCTGCTTTTCATGAGCATTTTATATTGAAAACTTGCTGAAAGGATCACTGTCTTTGGTACAGGAGCACTTTAAATTGTCAATTAGGAAATCTCTATGGCCTCCAAACATAAAATCTGAAAGGCTATGAAGTAGCAGTGCACTTAAAAGTGGCTATAATAAGCATAAAAATGTTTAATTTCAGTAGTAGTTATGACAGTCATTCTCAAGCAGGGTTTATTTTGCCTCCCATAGGACATTTGACAATGTCTGGAGACTTTTCTAATTGTCACAACTGGGAAAGTACAGCCGGCACTAGTGGGTGGATACCAGCAGTCCTACTCAGCATTCTGTAATATGTAGGGTAGTCTTCCAAGACAAAAAATTATCTGGCCCAAAAAGTACTTTTGAGGTTAAGAAACTCTGATTTAAAGTGATACAAATAATGAGAGAGAGATTTTGACTTTTTGAAAAGTTAGCATTGACTTTTGAAAAAATGATGCTTTCAGTGCTAGCCAAGATGCTTTAAAGTGGGTACATTTCTGAAGAAGTGTTACAGTCCCTCTGGAAGACAGCAGTTCTATGGGGAGTATGCATCAGAATCACTAGGAATGTTTTAGAAATACACACACCAGGGCCATATCCCCAGGAGTTCTGGAGGACTGGATTGGGTGGCTGTGGGAACTTGTGCCCTAATTCTACTCCTAAGAACCTGGGCCAAGTCCTTAGTCAGAGATGCAGGTAAAGGCTTCAGAACAAGGATGCTAGTCATAGCTTTGTGGATAAGAGCCAAATTTGGAAAAAACCTACTTTGTAAACACCAGGAGAATGGTTAAATAAGTTATGATGTCACTGCAGACAGAATAACATTTAGTCCTCCAAAATGTTTTCTAAAGGAACTTTTAACGATGTAGGAAAAGTTCATAATACATGAGTAAAAAGAGGAACAAACCCATATATAAGTATAATCTCAGTGATGCAAGAGAAAAAGAATATATTCACCAGTTTGAAAGAGAGACTGAGAATAAAAGGAAATATACCAAAATAGTGACCAGGGGTATACTAGGATGATGGGAAGATTAGTGAGTGGTATTTTTCTATTTTATTTGCCAAATTTCCTGACAGTTGCAGGCATTACTTTTATAGTGAGGAAAAACAGTAATGCTATTTAAAAAATAATTGAAGTCCTTGAACTTTGTGTTGTGTTTTCAGGTAGTTCACAATAAAAACATCACAAAAACACAGAAGGTGCGTTTCTTCACCGGGCAGGTACTGAGCCACATAGCATCTCTGTACTCCTGGAAGGGGATTGCAGACGTGGACACAGACAACGTCAAGGTGCAGGCCCTGTTTCCAGATGACATCATCATCAGTGTGATTGCTCATTTGGAGAAACAAGAATCTAACACTAGACCTGCCTTTAAAAATCTCCTGTTTGATTGATCTTTTTCTTTTGGCTTGTCATATTAATTCTCACTAGATGGCAGTAAGATGTTTTTAATTTGATTTTTTTTTTCATGATTTTAACTTCTTAAAATTTTCTAATGAGAAAGACTATTATTATTCCGTTTGGCTGAGTGCCGTCTTAATATTCCCTGCAATGCTTGCTTAGTGGATTTATAGAGTTCATCCAGGTTTTCTCTTCCCTTCTTACTTTACCCCTTCTTTCTTCCATAAAAGTTAACAGTCAAGAAACCCCTGTGGAGCTTAAATCTACTCTGTGACACATGGGTTTACCATGAGGCTGAATCAACTCGAGGGCAACAAATTTGGTTGTTTTTTTCTCTTCCAGTCTTTCATACCCACTTTTGGAGTTTCAAGGATTGTTTCTTTTACTTCAGAATCCTGTGTGCATGGGGGACTTCATGTTTCCTCACCTACTGACATGAACCGTTTATTTTGTAACTACTCTAGTGCTGAATTAAAGCATTGCTCTAGCTCATTGACCCAAGGCCAATGCACATTTGAATTTTCCTCATTCCCCCACCCCCCCAGGTGCTTCTGAACATGGACTTGTTCAAGGATTTCCTGCTGACTTTGTAATGACTTACTTCTCAAGGGCTTGTTATTTTACTGCCTTTTATCTTTGCAACTTGCCCATGCCCTCTTGTTTTGAACATGTTTTTGAATGCTCTATTACCAGGAAGCCTCAGGGGCCTAATAAAAGCCCTCTTAAATGTGTAATTTTATTTAAAAGAGCAAGGGAAATTAAGTCATTTTTAAGCTTGTTTAAAAATACAGGCTCAAACTTGCCCTTCTTAAGAGTCTTCTTTTATCCTAATCGGTGATTTTTGTTTTTGTTTGTGTTTGGAATGATACAAGTGTTAATTTAAAATGTTTTCCTAGTTGTCATTAGGTGTGTGATATTGTCCATTTTTAATCCTGTAACTGTTACTAAGGTTTATGAGTTTGGAATTTTCATTGAATTTTTCCCAACCCTCACAGGCTTCTGCTGAAGAAGCCGGGAAAACCATGGTGCGGGAGCTGGTTCATAACTTTCTGATGGATCTTTGCTGTTCGCTCAAGCATGGGATTAATTTTTATGATGCTTCTTTTGGTACCTTTGGAAGGTAACTTATAGCACTCTTGTGTATCCTGGGGTATGTGTTCTCAATGTTCTAATCCAAATCCTGTTAAAGAATAGAATTGTAGTAAGTTAGAACTAGAATTTTAGACATCATCTAACTCATCTAAGGGGTAAGAAGTAGCAGGCCCAGAGAGCTTCTGCTTACTGTGTGCCCTCAGGCGCCAGGATCTCAGGGCAGCAGTTTTTTATAGACAAGGTACCTCTGCCAGGGAGGCACTGCCTGTGCTTACTCACAAGTGGGACAGTCAGTCAGATCTGAGAATAAATCTATCACACCAGCTTTCCAGTAGAGGAGAGCATCTGAACTGACACCCAGTAATCCTGAGGTGGCTATCACTGTTACCTCAGTTTTACAGATGAGGAAAGGGGTGCAGAGAGGTCCAGAAACATACCCTGGCACGTGGCAGAGCTCAGATTTAAACCCAGGAAATCTGCTTCCAAAGCCCATATTTCTAACACTGCAGCAGTCCCTTCTCCTTCAAAGACAGGCTGTCGAGTTAGGATTTCGAAATATTGTTTTCACAGTTTTTTTCATATTTTGCAATAATATGTTACCAGTAAGGAAACATAAAAGTACAGTTTGGATTATATTCTTTTAGACTTCGTAGTCCAAAAACTATAAAACATATTCATGTTCGTTTTTCTAATAATCAAAATGGGCTACTGTAAGATCTGTTGTTCATCACCCTACTGTTTCCTCACTTCACAGTATAACTACTGGACCTCTTTTCTGGTCATTATGAATGGCTCTAGTTTATTACCTCCTTGGCTGCAGAGCATTTCACTATAACGCTACAGATGCTTAGATTTTACTTCTAATTTCAACCAGGTAGGAAATGATTTCTTCAGAATGGGATAACAAGGTGGGAATTTTTCTCCCACTGTGATTTTGGACTGGTTTGAATTCTGAGATTACTGTGACTTAACCTCCCACATCATTTCTTTTTTACTTTGGGTGATTGTTGTTGTTGTTATGTACCGTTGAGTCGGACCCAACTCATAGCGACCCCTCCTTGGGTTTCCGAGGCAGTATCACTATGAAAGTAGATTGTCCCATTTTCCTTCCTGAATAGTAAGAATGGGCTCATTTTTCTGGTAAAACACAGTCTAATGTAATACAACACCATGTTGTATACACCATGTTTAAAGTGTATATATTTCCCTTCCCACCCCACCCCACCCCACCCTTATTTTTTTTTTTAATTAGGATTTTGGTGAAGATTTACAGAGTAAATTCACTTTTCATACAACAGTTCACATATACTTTGTCTCATGTCATTGACCAAAATTTACAATGCAGCAGCTCCCCTCCCACTTCCTCCCCATAGTT